CCGGCTAACCCTGATTAATATTGTTTTACCGACCTATAAAATGTCATATTCTTCTTCTATCAATACCTACACACCCATATAAGGTTTACGGTTTACCTGAGCAACATTTGGACCCTAATACCCTATTGGCCTATTATACATGCCACTGGTTATTCGTTTTTGAATTACAACAAAATAAAAAAATCGCTACATGTTGTAAAAATGTAATTTGACTTTCCGGGAGACTTTCTTTTTTTGATAAAGGTAGACAACTCATGGCAAATCTTGTATTACATTTTCAAATCTTATAGATTTAAAAAGAAAAGTTTTTATGAATTTCTTATTCAAAATAGCTTGCACATTTTCGTGATTTTTACGAGTTTTGACAAAACTGACTTTAAATACTTAAAACTGTATTTTTAATAATTTTCAAATACCTACCATTTGTAGCAATAAAATAGGAGCCTCGTATTAAATTTTCAAGCTTTTTGAACCTAAGAATAAAATGTTGTTGACGTTTATTGATATTCTAAAATAGGAAAAAAGACATTCATATTTTTGAAAGAAATTACTTAAATTAGTTAAGCTATGAATAACTTATAATCTTTCCTGCTTGGTAGAAGTTGGTAACATCCTAAATACTAACAATATAATTTCACGATGATTTCGAAAATCCAGAATTGCCCACTCTCCTAAATGGCGATTGGGAGGCGTCTACTCCATATTGGTAGAATTGGTATTTGGTCATGATTCATAATGTATCTACTTGCAGTTGTTTCCAGGGCCATATTTGGACAATTTGCGCCCCGGGGCAACATATTTCCGCCGCCCCCTACCCCCCACAAAAAATTCTATTTCTTAAAATGTAAGGTGTACCTAACTATTTTGTTGTATACAATTTTGGTCTACAGAAAATTAAACCAACTACATAAACATAATAATATGCTACTCTCACTAATATAATATTGGCAAATTAAATGTATATACAATATAGGTACACTATTATATTATATTCATGTGTGTGATTTATTATTGTAAAATGTATTATGAATAATAATTATGATCATAAAAATTTAACAAAATATAATATAATTTCTCTATAAATATTAATATTTCTCTACATAGGAAATAACCAATGTTAAATAAAGAAAATAGTTTTAAGTAAATAATGTATTATTTATTGTTAAGCATTGTATTTTTTATTAATAATTATAATCTAAATAGTTATATAAATATTTAATTTATAACTTTCTCCTTGACTGAAGGTTTGAGAATAAAATTATCATTTCTTCGAAATCTGTTTCACTGGTTGTATCAGATTCTATGGTCAATAAAGCTAACGCAGAACATCTTTCTTGATTCATTGTTGAACTTAGATAATTTTTTACTCGTTTTAGAACAGAAAACGAACGTTCAGCTGAACAGTTAGTAGATGCTGTTGATAAAAAAATACGTAGCTCAATTTCTACGTATGGATACAAAATAATGAAATTGTTACTTCTTATCCATAACATGAGTTCCAAAATAGTTTGAGGATTATTGTCAGAAGTTCCTAAGCTATGGATGTGCCCTTGTAGCTGGACCACCTCACTAGCCAAACTTATATTTAAGTCATTTGGATAAGTTTCACATAATTCCTTAGCACTTTTATATGAATTTCATTAATTGAATGCTGTGTTATATTATGAAAAAAGGAAAATTTTTTTACCAAATTATCATAAGCAGACTTGCGTTTTGTAACTCTGATAGTAAATTGTCTAGTATAAAAAAATATGTCTATTGCTCACCTAATATCTATATCATAGCCCATAGGAAGTAGGGACGTATAACCATGTACACATAAAAGTTCACGAATGGTCAACTGCATGTCTGCATATCCTCCAGTGTGAGCACTTATGAATAATATACTGATATAGGTATTCGTTTATATATAAATATAGGTAGTGTAATACGTACACGAATGCGTCCCTACAAATTCAACAGTTATTATTATATTAATTTATTTTTTACATATAGGTGGGTACATTACAAAACTAATTAAAATCACATTTTTTTTATTTTCTCGAAAACAATGTTTCAAAAATTATTATATAATTTATTGGTATATAGTATTAAATAAATTAATATAATTATTAATAATAATAAATTCATTTATAAATTATAAAAATACAAACGAAAAACGATTCTGAGCGAGCAAAGACAGTTATAAATAATGTTGTGATTAAAGTAATTTATTTTACTATTATGCATTTGTACAAGAGTAGGTTAAAGCAATTTTTGCCCAAAAATTACATTTGAAAATGTCATCGTGTAGGTATATAAATTATAATGATATACTCTAAAAGTTTCATGAATCCACGAATACCTACAATTTTTAAATTGCAACAAAATATCTAAAATCGCTATTCTTTGTTTTAATAAGTAATTTCCTCCAGAAATCAAGAAATTTTTTTCTAAAAAAAATCGTGCATATGGATCTTTATTGTTTCTCAACTGCTATTATAAATACTTATGAGGAAACTTTTATTACATTTTCATATTATGGGTAGGTAAACAAAGACATTTTTGTATGAATATCTTACAACAAAATATTTTGCAAATTGACAAGATTATGATAAATTTTGTAGAAATGCTAATAAAAAAAAACCTGCTTATTTATTTCTAATTTTTTTTAACTGATATTATATCAACTTACGAGAAACTTAAAATTATTTTTAAGCTTTCTGAACCAACGAATAAAATTGTATTGATATTTATAGAATACAGAACTAAAAACATTTCATAATTCAAATGTATATAAATCACTGAAAACGAGTCAAAATATTTTGAAAATTTTATGATGTATATAGAAAATAATAGCTTAAAAATTCGATGGACATTTTAAATATCGACGGTTAATAGCTGTTGAATAACAACAAAATAAGAACATTTTTTTACGAGAATCATATACATATCATTGTAAAATCAAAACATTCATTGCTCCCGTAGTCGGCTCTAAAAAACAAACTAACACATAATAGTTAAGTAGGTATAATACAGATTAAACATTATACATATAAAATATAATATCTGTAACGCTTAGGTCATAAGAATATTGTTGAATATTTAACTGCAGGCTGCGTGTTTTTTCAGAAATGGTATTAATTCGTCAGTGAAGATTTGTCAACTTGGAATAATAATATATCATAAGCATACTGAAATGTGTAACGTTGCAGTATTTCGAAGACTAAGTTTTATAGCAGATTTTGATTCGGACACGGGGTATGTATTTTCTTATTTTTCTGCAGTAGGTTTCTTTTTATTATAGTTAATCGATCAGGGTTGTACTGCCCGAAACTTTTCAATTATTTGTATTGTAACTATACTGGTATAACACTATTCTGGCTATCAATAAAGTCGTGATCAAAATTAGGAAATTGGTCAGGTATGATATTTTATAGTATGTAGGTCCTAATTCTTTTGAGTAGATAATTCGTTCAATTATTTAAATATTTTCACAGATAATCAAGTACGATGACTTGCAGGTAACTAGAGACTGAGTGAATAGGAATTAGGAAGTGTAAGGAAAGAGGTCATTAGGATTTCAGAGTGTTTGGGGTATGAAAGGGAAATGCGAAAAAGAAATGTTAGGTTAGGGTAGGTAAGTGGAGCGAGAGTAGCAGATATGAGAATGTCAAGTTGAGTGTGTAAGGGACAAAAGAGGATAGAATAAGATATTGATTAATTAAATGTAGTATAGGAGTGACATATATATTTAAGTGAAAACAGGAGATACTAGGTTGAGGTGGTTCATTCACTGTATGATAAGAGGTAGTGAGAGAAGCTAACAGATGTAGGTAAATGTAGGGGAAAGTGAGAGGTGAGAAGACTGAAGAAGTGATGGGTAGAACTGATGAACCAATGTGTTGACAGTTTTCAGACGTTGACTTTCTTGCAGATAATTATATACATACCATATTGGAGCGAGTTATGAAATTTAAAGGTGAGAATATTGTAGATAGGTTTTTATTTTAAAGCTATTTTACTAACTAACGTGTCCACCTGTTCACGGGACACATTGTATAATATCTAATTGTGTGCGTGGACATAAATTTGTATATCGAAAGGCCTCAGCCCGTTAAGTCAAAATAAATTAACATTTAAATAATTATATCTTACAATATTAAAATATTCATAACTTTTTTTAAAAATAAAATACAAATAAATGCTTAGTGCTTCTCTATAAGGTACCTTGAAAAACATATTTGCTTTTAAGTTTGATTATAATATTATGTCATATCACTCTAATATTAAAGCTAACAGTACAAAACTGGATCTACTGTACTCACACTTGCATGTTGCTCGTTATTCAAAGAGAGAAACAAATGGTGCACTGACATATTTTTAACAAAGTTTTAATTTTTTAGGCAATACAATTTTCCTGAGAAACAATCCAATTTCAATAACATAAAGGGCCTCAACATATTTTAATTGCAAAGAAACACATAACTAGTTTAGACTTCAATATATTTTCTGAAAGGAAAATGAATCTAGTTGGATGACAGGTAAAAATTTAAAATTCCAATGTGCTTTCAAATACATCAGGAATAAATATAATTATTTTATTTTGTAGCTCGGTACATACTGATTCTTTTGCATACCATGTCACCCACTGGATCTCAAAAATCTGTTTTTGAATCGCTGCCTCGGGGTAAGCATTAAATTTCTTTAAACGCATTTTTATCTAATGTTAGCATTATAATAGGTTTTCGTAAGATCATATTATCCACAAACATAGCAGAGACTTCAGTTACCATAGACAATGTAGTTTATGTTATTAATAATGACCGGAAGAAATTAAAAGGATTCGATGCAGAAAATAACATTGGACCTCTTAATGAAGAATGGGTTAGCTTAGCTAATTGTAGACAATGTCGTAGTAGAGCAGGTCGTGTAAGACCTGGTATTTGTTATCATTTGTATACAATTGGACGTGATAGATCAATTAATGATTATGTACTGCCTGAGATGATATTTATATGATGAAATTGCAGCTGGATCAAGCAGCAGAATTTAAAATTAAAATTATGGAATCTCAATCAGCATTAAAAAAAGTTAAAATGGAGAAACAAGATGCATTAGAAGAAAAAGACGAGTATAATGAAATGGCGAAGACTTTAGAAATGGCTGAAGTGAAAGCAGAAACACTTCAATTAGAATTAAACCAAGCAAAAGAGCGTATTGAGGAATTAACAGTAGATTTAGAACTCTTAAAGGCTGAGTTTGAGAAAGGAAATGTAAGTGAAGAGGGAGGAGATGGTGCCTATCTTACTATTCTTTCAAAGTCAAGCAACTTGAACAACAAAATGTACGTCTTAGAGATACACTATTCAAGTATAAGATGCTTTTATATTATTATTGTTGTTTAAAATTGATTGATTCCTATTTATTTGACACTTATTGAAACTTTAGATTACGAGACTTATCCGCCCACGAGGAATACCAAACACAAAACTTACAAAGAGAAATCGAAGAAATGACCAAACAAGGTAATGATTTACAAAAGTCTAATGAAGAACTAGCATCTCAAGTTAATGATTTGCATGAACAGGTTTTATATTAATTTTTAAATAGATAGTTTCCAAGTATTAATATATTATTATATTTTAAGTTGATGCAGCTGTTGATGAGTGGTAGAATTAGAGAAAGCAGTGACTGATCTAGAAGCAATACAAGATATTAATTATCAACTCCAAGAATATAGTACAGAGTTGGAAATGCAATTACGTACCTAAAGAATTAGATATGGCAAATGCTAATATTAGAGAGGTTTTAAATAGTATTAATAGCAAACCTTTTATTTTTATTTATATCTAAGTCATATTTATTTTAAAGTGTGTCAAAGGAAAATTACAAGCATTGGAAAGTTTAGCTGATCGGAATTTGGTTTTTTTAAAATTTAAAGGTCTGGTTAATGAACCAAGTGAACAAAGTCAAGATCTACAAACTCAATTAATGATAGAATCTGCATCAAAAGATAAAGTTCGGTCATCAATACCAGAAATGCTTGACTTTAAGGTTAACTATAAATTAAAATATTTATTATATGGAAAAATAGTTAAAAATATATTATTTATTAGAAAATGTTTGTTTTATATTGATTGGATGAAACAAGACAGCAATTAAAAAGAAAGTCAAAAGAATAAGAAGAAACAGTGGACCATTTGCAAGCAGATATTGATTCACTAGAAACAGAAAAAGGAGAATTAAAAAATAAACTTAAACATTTCTCAAAAAAAATTCTTATTGAGGGTATAAACAGGCGAGTTACCTATACTTTTAAGCTGTAATTAAAATATAGTTCTTAAATTTGAGTTGCTAATAATTCTATATTTTTCTTTTCAGTCACCGGTACTGGAAATGATAGTAATAAACCATGCCAAGAATCTCCATTCTTACTTAACAAATTAAAGTTATCCAAAATGGCACTAAAACATGAATAGATCAAAGAGCCAAGCTCGAAAATAATTATTGTGAACAAATATTTTCTCAATTAAAACTTTTGCCTGTAAGTTAATACACTTATTTTTATTTATGAAATAACAATATTATAGTAATGAGTACTAATGACTGATGAAATATTTGTTGCAATATAATAATCAAAAAATTTTAAAACCTTTTTCAATTTGATTTCTAGTTCAATTTAATAACTGCCTTGAAAGTTGGGTGCGTAGGTGGCTGAAATAATAGTGTATACTTCTGAGTCCTTCTGCTATAATTTTAGGTACTAAACACAGGAATGTCATTAAATTATGTACATTTAATTAGTAAGTTAGTTTAATTAGTTTCACAGTCATTTGAAAGGGTGTTCTATTGGAAGGAGTGGGATGTGTGTTTCAATCAAATTATTTGAACTGCCAGTTTTAATAATTAAGAGGATGTAACACGGGCATTTGTTGTCTTACAATTACGTAACAGCACATTTAAGCTTAGCAGATCACGTTTGACTTTGTTAGTTTAAATTTAGAGTGAATGAAACTTGATGGTAAGAAAATTATCTTTGTTTTTATAGGAGTTTTTACTGTTGTTAAATTTTTTAGCAAGTCTTACATATATAGCGTTAATTAAAAATGCTCATAACTAAAAATCATGTTTCATAATAGGTCGATTCATTCTAATTTTTAAACTAGAATAGCTTAATGTTTTATGCTGAGCTTAAATTTCCTATGTTACTCTCTTGTAAGACAGAGAAAACAAATGCCCGTGTTACGTTCTCTTAATATTTTAATTTATTTGAAGATCACGTATCTGTTTTCAACTTTGTTCTAAACAATTTTGAAAATGTACATGTCCAATTATTTCCATTATTTCCTTTTTGACAAGTCATTTTACACACAATTGTTTATTTGCCTCATATTATTTATAATAAGTCTCATCAAAATTGGTATATTTTGTCATCATTTTAACGGCAGTATACATTTCAATATTTCTGGAACCATGAATGTATTGATTTTACATTGATGTGTGTTTTTTTATTTTTTACTATTTATTCATTTTTGTGTCTGTCATCATAAAACTGTAAAACTGCTTCGATTTTCTTCAACAGTATCTTGTTCGATGGAAAACGGAATCTAGTTGGTGCATTCAGGAGGTCAAATTTTAAAATTACCAATAGTTTTGTGCCGGAAAAAACAACATAAAAATTAAGGAAAAACGGGATTTCTTACCCAAAATTTTGGTTTTTGGTGTAACTCTAAAACAAATGATCGTATATACATGAAATTTTCACTGCTTGTTTATATTTGCATTTTCTATACATGATAAAATTTTCAAAATATTATGATATGTTTTTAACTGTTTAGTTACATTTGCAGTTTCCCATTTTATTAGTTTTTTTTCTATGAATGTCAATAAAACTTTATTTGTTGAGTAAAAATACTTGAAAATTTAGTACAATGCTCCTTCTATATTGTTACAATGACATTTGAAAAATATTAAAAATCTTTAGTCACAGATTTTTTTTATAAGCATTTAAAGTTCAAAAATTGACAAAATATGGAAAAATCACAAAAATTAGCAAATTCTTTTGAGTTAAGAATTCATAAAAATTTTTCTTTTTAAATCTAAGATTTTTAAATGTAATACAAGATTCCCTATAAGATTATCTACTTTTATAAAAAAAAAAAATGGCTACCGGAAGTTGAAATTAAATTTTTATGAGCATTTTAAATTCATATTTTTACAAAATGTGTTATTCACTCGATTTCTCATGTAACAATTTTCTTATTTTGTTATACTTGAAAAACGAATAACTGTAGATACATGACAATTTCACTGAATGTTTATATTATCAATTCTTATACTTGATAAAATGTTCAAAATATCTTGACACTTTTTGAGCTGTTGTCAGTTTTCAATTTTTTTACTTTTTTTTTTTCTATGAATATCAATGAAGTTTTATCTGTTGGGTTAAAAAGTGTACAATTTTAATACATTGCTTCTGATATATTGTTACAATAGCAGTTGAAAAATATTAAAAATACACAAGCACAGTTTATTTTTATAGTCATTTTAAGTTCATTTTTGGATGAAATTTCATATTAGAAAACCTAGCAATTAGTTATTTTGTTGTGATTGCATAATATTATTCGTGGGTACCTACTTGAAATTTCTTAAGTGTACTATTATGTATCTATGATAGTATCGCGGTTTTTTGTTGATGTATAACGCATTATAAGTACTTATTGGATATTGTGATATGATTAATTTGTAATTTATTATAGGTACCTATTATAGGTCATTATTTTTTAAAATACCATAGATTTGTAAATATATGTCTTAAACCTAGACTGACATACCGTCTCCGCTCAGAATCGTTTTTCTTATACAATGATATTATATCATTGAATTCAAATCTAATACCATAGATTATACAGTGACCCACTTGTAACCTTCTGTACAGCAGAGCACCTTTTTTTTAATTTGAAATAAAAATTGTAAGCCAATGCAATAAGTAAATATTAACTTTAAAGATGTTTTAATATATCATAATACATAATAATAATATTAATATTTTGTATACACAAGTAATAATAAATAATTTTTTTTTGACTTCTTTAAAATAAAATATAAAATATGTTGTACATTTATCATATTTTAATTATTGTACATAATATAATAATTAATAATCAATATTTATTTATATATAATATATATTATGTAGTATAAACATAAGTATGAAATAATGTTAAAGGTTTTTTAAATGACATCTTGATACATTAATATAATACATTATGAGTCAAAAAGATTAAAATAATTTAGTTGTAAAAACAATGTTATTAGGTATATAATTATTAATTTCAATCACATATAAAATAATATGAATATAGCGATTTAAGTTCCGTATTATTATATACCTTATTATATAGTGAATAGTTTTGTTTTAGTAAAAGTTAATTTTAGATATATAATACGTATATTAATAATTTTAAATTAATTAACAACTATATAAGTACCTAGTAATTTTTTTTTTTTTTTTTAGTTCTATACATTACAATTTATTAGTGATTTTTTGTAAAGTTGGAACAAAATATAAAACTAAAAAACAAAATATTAATAGAACAATATAAGACCAAAATTGTTTGAAACTACTGCCAGCAAGTAGTAGGTTATTTTATGGAAGTTATACTTGAGTTACAGATCAATAGTCCTTCAATATAGCTAACTAAAGAGTATAACACGTTTAAACATCATTCATCATATCACTGATAAATAAACGATATTTAATTAACAATTACATAATAAATAATATGAAGGACGGGTTGTGCAAATTTACTTCCAGTCCTGATTTTAAGCAAAACTGTAAGAGTTCAATGTTTGTTAAAATCAGATTAAGAACAAGAAAACCAATTGGCTGCATTGAAAGAATTCAAGAAATATTGCACAAAAGTTGTATTTGACTAGTGCACTACTGCACGTTATCTGCTATATGCCCATTTGATACTTGATAAATAATATTATGTTGTACAATGTATAGACGTTGTTAAAGCAATGAAATAAATCCAAGTATGAGTATAATACGTAAACATATTTGTTGACGAGTTAATTTAAGGTATTTCTTCGTCAGAGCTAAGCAACATTGCCTTTTCATTATACACCGGTGTTTGTTTCTTAGCGGTTTTTGATTTTCCACTGTTGTCGTTGATTCCACTTTTTGATCCGTAGTTTTTTTGGCCACCTGTAATATTCAAAACCTGGTTTTAGAATTTAGATTTTAACAAACTATTCACATTTCATCCAAACAAAAATATTACAATGTATCTAATAGGTTTACCTGTAGTCGTTTGTCGCGGAGACTGATAATATAATACTATTTGTTATAACTTATGATGGTAATAGCTTTTTATATAGGTATTAAAATACATACGCATATTCTAGTATACTGAAGGAAAGATGAATTAAAATATTTTTAGTATGGAAAATTCTGTATTTATTATAAATGGTACAATAAATTTTAATTAACTATAAAATACAAGTTTGCGAGGATCGTTCCCCAAACACTTATTACAAGTGTAATAATATAGTGCTAATTTAAAAATACATAATATAATAATAAAAATTGATTTAATTATACATAATTTAATATAAATACCTATCTATTTAGTTACATAGATATTAAAATAAAATTAAGTAATACTTTTAATAGGTACGCTTAAGCAATAAATTAAAAGTAAACGTCTAATTTGTTTTTAAATACAGATCACAAACTTAGAAATTAATGTCTTAAAAGTAATTAAGGCATAGACAAAGTTTCTGTTCACAAGTTTTTGTAAGTATAATATACAACAAAACAATATACTTACTATTTTGAAGTAAAATGTTGACTAGTAAGAATAATGGGGGAAAATAAGCTATTTATAAAATGGAAATATACATAGTTGTATTATTACCATCAACATAGCAAATTAGAAAAAAATACAAACAAAGGACATTTTTAAATAGCGTTAAGTACTTCATAACATAAAAAAAAAAAATATATAAATACGTTTAACAAAATCACATTGCATCAACCCGATAAAGAAAAATTAAGCGGATTTGGAGTTTATTCACTACAAACATAAAAATTATAATATAAACCTATTGAAATAAAAGAAAAATTATTTATACTAGAATACCTATCAAATAATAGATGGTCATGAGAATAAAATCTAAAAAATAATAACTAAAATGATAAAAAAAAAATATATAAAAAAATATTTGTTAAAAATAAAATGCAAAGAGAGCAAAATACAACTAAAACACCTTTCCATGCTTATAATTTTTCATAAGGCCGAGAGGAACCAACGTCTGCAAATAAAAAAAAAAAAATCTAACTCTGTAAATTATATATTAGACATTAAAATAATATTAACTATCTCAAATATTTTAAAATAAAATACAATTAATATCAAAATACTAAAAACTTATTTAATGTTATTTTATTTTTTGGCCAACATTTTGTATGTGGCAAAAATATAATTTGTTAATCATGTACAGGAAATTTCAAATTGATTTGTATTTATTATTATTAGATTATTTAGATAAAAATACAATTTTTATTGCTTAATTTGTTGGTAGTCAAAATATTTTTATAGAGAGTATCTATATTATTATTGTTCTATTATAAAATTAAAAAAATGTTAAGTCTATATTTGACGTGTATAATTTATCTTTATAATTAATAAATTAGGTATTACTTAAAATAAATAAACCTTTGATAAAATATAGACAATAAAATGCTGACAAACAAAATGTATCAATATACAAAAAAAAAAAAAACTTTATCTACAAAATTCTAAATTGTATTGCCATCAATCAATAGTGAAAGTCTTATGCAAACAGCTAATCAAAAATAAAAATACACACACATGCCATGTAATTTTTAAACATCTTACCTGAACTATACTGTGTATATTGTTGATACTGTGGATGAAAATTATGTATGGCATCCGTCATTATATCTTTTGGATTCATTGTTTCCTGAATAAAACAAATATTTGTAGTGATTGGTTGGGGATATAAACCGTCATTCAGTATAAACAGACACACAAAATATATATGTTTATTTTTTTTAGCGCACCTTTAAACTACTAGAAATACTTTGCATTGTAACTGTGCGCGAATTGGATGGATTTCCTGTTCCTGTTTGTGCGTTATTAGCGTATATCTCATACGGAAATGCAGCTCTTAGGGCCAATGCAGCAAAAAGCATCTCAATGCATATTAAAAAGTTTTGGTAGCCAGCTGATACTGTACCGGCACTAGTGGGTTGGCCACTGGAATCAATGACGGGATCTATGAATTTAGCTTTTTCCAAAACTGCCAGTAATACACCTTGAAAAATGCACATGGTTATTAAATAATATATACATCACTTTGGTATTGAGTGATTTTTTTTACCTTGCCAGAATGATAAGAATATCACACTCTTTATGGTACAAAACTTTAAGACTGGTTCGAAAGGTATTAAGAGATCTCGAGTAGCGAAATAAAACAGGAACAATCCATATAGTGCTAAGCTAACTGACATATTGTAAATGGCCGTGACATACAAGTATCCTCCATTCATACTATAAAATCACACTTTTGTTAAAATTATTTTTAACACAAAATAATAGTTTTAAATGTATTACCTCCAATCGCCATCATGATAATGTCCAACATATTGCAGGAATATAATGACAAAAGCCATTGAAGGTTTTACCAAACAAAATTGTAGTGTTGCTTGCTTGCAAAAACGTAGGAATCCAATTGTGTAGGTACGTCCTGTCAAACAACAAGTTCCATATTGCCAGCTAGACCTAATACAAATAGAGAAAAGTATTAAAACTATGCAATTAGTAATTTATATTAAATATAATTAGACACATAATATAGTATACAGAAGCAGTTTAAGACTTCTACACCTAAAAACAATAAACATACTAGGTACATTATGATAGTACATTGTTCAAATACATATTATATGGTGTAATTTAATATTTAATTGCCTAGACTATTTTTCTAAGTCAATTTTTGTGTTTTTGAAAAAAAGAACAAAAATAAAATTATACAATTAGTCTAGCCATATAAACATAGGCGCAGATAGAATTTGAAATTTGGGGGGGCTGAGGCCTTACTTTGATAATATTGAATAACCATAAAACAAAATGTAGGAAATGTTTGGGAGGGCTATGGACATTTTTTGGGGGGGGGCTTAGCCCCTATTTGCGCCAATGCATATAAAATAATGGATCATCGTGTATATTATACAAAATAAAATATATAATACAGGTACAAAATTATGGAAACTTATTTTGAATAGATCTGTTAAACTTACTGAATAGGTTTCCCACGAATTTCGCTCATTATGTTCCCTTCACCGCCCAAATATTCGTAGCACAAACTCATAAAATTGTATATCACGAAAGCTGTTCGAAAAAAAAAAAATACAATGCAATTTGTATATGACAAACAAAAAAAGTAAACACATTATTTTATAGTTATTTCATAATTTGTTTTGTTAAACGCGTATTATTACCTTCGTAGCAATCCCTAATTGTAAAGAAGTACACGTAGTAGTGTTCGTTGTTGAAGAACAACAAACTGACCCACGAGTGTAGAGCGTAAATAGGTACAATAAACAATATTCTGATGATCCATCGTTGTTCGGCTGGATTCGTATTCCACCGCAGGTGATAATATATCTGAAAAATAAAAATTGTAATTATTTCATAAATCATAAGTTAATACTGCACTCGGCAATATTTAAAAAACCTATCAGGATTTCGAGAACATCTCAATTTCGATAAAAATAAAATGCAGGTACTTATATAGATTTCAAATGTTACGGACCATTGATCTCAAAAACGATTTGAATATCTGTATTACAATTGTCAATTAATTTTTATGGATCACAATAAATTTAAACTTTCTAACTTATATAAGTTAGTATTATTTTGAAAATACCACACAAATATTATAAACAAAATTGATTTATATCGAAAGCAAGCCACATAATAAATTCGAAATCGTATTCTGGCGGAGACTATTTAAAATGTGGTTTCAGAGAGAGAAATCGAATATATTTCATTGTTTTTATAACATAGACCCTTATTGTCTGGTGTATATAGTTTTTATGATCACTGCAATAAATTAATATTAAAATCGTCACTAAATATATAAATACAGATAGTTTGTACTACGAGAATCTACTAGAATGTAGATATTTATCATTTAATTTAGCGCACACACAATACACTATTACACTATTTAGTAATGACTCGTAATACATAGAGATAAGGTTAAAAAGACTCCAATGGAACGTATTTTAGGTTTATACTGTATTAGAGTGTAGCATATATGTATATGACAGGTATATGTATACTACATGTCTACATCAGAAGCATAATATAAGTACGGTCGAAACGTTGTTATACTGGTGTCTGGGTTGACATGCATCCAACACATAATGTAATAACAAAAGATAACGATCGAAGTTACTGTAGTTAGTTATTAAAATGGTATTTTATCAATGATTAATATCAGAATGCAAAGATTCCAATAATGTATTAAAAAAATTGACCTATAATAGATACCTATAATAAATTCCAAATTAATCATATCACAATATCCATTAGGTATCATATATCCCCGAATACTATTTTTAAATTACAACGAAAAACCAAGATCGTTAATATTGATTTTAATATGTAATTTCGTCCAAATTTGGATTTAAAATGTCTTTAAAAATTAACTGTGTTCATATATTTTTTAGATTTTTTGGTTACAGTATGAATTATTTAAGAGAATCTTTGTTTTAAATTTTCAACTCTTAGTTATAAAAACTGAACATTTTATAATTTTTTAATTCCAACGATTGATAATTTTCGAGATTTTGATAAATTTTGTCAAAATTCCAACTTTAAATGCTTATAAAAAAAAATCGTGCCTATGTATTTTTAATATTTTTCAACTGATATTGTAACAATATATCAGGAGCCTTGTATTAAATTTTTACACTTTTTGCCCAACAGATAAAACTTTATTGATATTTATAGAAAAAAAAACTAAAAAAAATTGAAAGCTGTAAAGGTCCATAAACAGCTCAAAAAGAGTTAAAATATTTTCAAAATTGTATGGTGTATAGGAAATGCTAATATAAACATTCAGTGAAATTTTCATGTATCTACAGTTATTTGTTTTTGAATTACAACAAAATAAGGAAATCGCTACATGGGAAATCGAGTGAATATTCAATGTTGTAAAAATTTGAATTTCAAACGCTCATAAAAATTTAATTTGACTTTCTTATAGACATTTTCTTTTTGATAAAGGTAGATAATCTCATAAGGAATCTTGTGTTTCATTTTCAAACTTAGATTTAAAAAGAAAAATTTTTACGAATTCTTAACTCAAAATAATTTGCTAATTTTCGTGATTTTCCCATATTTTGTCAATTTTTGAACTTTAAATGCTTATAAAAAAAAATTGTGACTAAGGATTTTTAATATTTTTCATCTGCCTTTGAAACAATATATTAGGAGCCTTCTATTAAATTTTCAAGCTTTCGCAACCAACAAATAAAATTGTATTGATATTTTTAGAAAAAAAACTAAAAAAAAATGGAAAATGAAAATGTCCCTAAACAGTTCAAAATAAATCAAAATATTTTGAAAATGTTATCGTGTATAGAAAATGCAAATATAAACAACCAGTGAAAATTTCATGTATATACGTTCATTTGTTTCAGAGTTACACCAATAACCAAAATCGATTTTTTGGAAAATCGATTTTGCTTAAAAATTCCCGTTTTTCCTTAATTTTTATGTTGTTTTTCCCGGCGCTTGTGAAAACTACTGGGAAATTTATACTTTTGACCCCCCAAAGTACCAACTAGATTCACTTTCCTATCAGAAAAGCTACTGATGAAGAAAATCCAAGCACTTTTACTGTCCTAAAACGTGATGACAGACACAAAAAAAAAATAAAAAAATAAAAAAAAAAATAAAAAAACACACATCATTGTAAAATCAATATATAATATAATTTCTATTATAAATGAATATCTTATCAGTAATTGTCAAGTGGGATAGTCCATAAGCAGAACGAAAAAAAATGTATTTACAAATAACGAATAAGTACTTACTATAGCCAATAATATACTATACTATTTGGTACTGGTCTAGTTGACCCCCACCACTTAAATCTCTCGTGTTTTCGATGTTCTAGTCATTCGATATATATACAGTATATATAATATACTGCAGGTAAAAAGGTACGAAATCACACACGTTGGGTATTCGTATTCTCAATTCCCTAATTAGATACTTCCTTGCATAATTTTTTATTATTTTCTGCATTATTATTTATATAAATTATGTGTGAATGATATATATTTTTTTTACTATTAATTTATTCATATATGATGTACATTATTTATCTATTTTTATTTGAATCACCTGAATTTCTAGCTTAAATGTATTATCTTATGTGGTGAATAATTTTTTTACGATTTATTTATTCATATATATTATGTATCTATAAATACCGAATGAATGTATGATCTATAATATTCTATAATCTATGATTATAGTTTTGATTATTGACTAGAAAATCGAAAACACGAGGGATTTAAGTGGCGGGCGTCAACTAAACCTGAGTGGCGGGGGAATATTTTCTTGGTGGGGGTCAACTAGACCAGTACCTACCATTTTATTACTAAAATGCCATTGACTATAAAAATCTAACATAGTATAATATTGTTATGTATTGATCCATGCGACATGATTTCGCGAAAACAATCATTAACTACGTATTTTTTTTTAATTCATTCAAAAATATTAATTAAATATCTTAAAAATGTACGAATAAAAAATTTAACGTTAAATAAAAATTTAAAATGCAGCTCAATTAGTCAATGACCCCTATTATCTTATGCTAATTTATTATGCTTAGTGATCAGTATTGAAGTTTATGAAAATTCGCTATTCAAGCAACAGTTATAAATTATAATTGTTTTTTTTGTTAACATAGCGATGTGTTATGTGTAGAATATAATTAGCAACATATGTGGGTTATTTACAAGTTTAAGCAGTTATTAACTATCATAGTATTATACCTATATCTAATACGTATTTTATGACAGTGACAAGTGCATTGGTATTTGTGTGCTCTATTAAAACTATTATTGTAATAGGTAAAAACTAGTATGACATAGGTAATATAGAAATGTCTTTAAGAGGACGCTACTCTTGCAATTGTACAAACGTAAGACAGAAAATTTTCGTTCACTAGTTTCAATGGTGTGATGTTAGTTTTGATTGATTTATTGATCTAGGTATATCAAACTTTTAGGTAAGAACATTATCTGTGCTTGAGCTTCGGCTTTTATTCGATATTTTAATTTTCAAGCAAGATATAAACATTTTTAATTTGTGATATTTCCAGGGTTGGAATATCGTTACACGTATAATAACACATTAATATACCTATGTATATTATACATTTATACGAATACAACTTTATAACGACTAAGACTTATGGGGATTGGAAGCGACGATTTTCTGTCTTTATCTAACACACGTGCAACATAGGATTATAGACGTGTTCTATGTCCAACGTACCGATTAATCTAATGAAGCGATAAGAATTCTGAAAACAGATTTGAATTTGTCGTCAAGTCTACTTGAGATCGACTTTCCCACATTTTTGATTTTTTGATTTAAACTTCTCCAAAAGTTGAAATTTGTAAATTTTTTAAGTACTTTTTATAATATATCATTTTTATGATTTTGGTGAGACAATATCAAAAATGTGGGAAAGTCGATCTCAAGTAGACTTGACGACAAATTCAAATCTGTTTTCAGAATTCTTATCGCTTCATTAGATTAATCGGTACGTTGGACATAGAACACGTCTATAATCCTATGTTCCACGTGTGTTAGATAAAGACAGAAAATCGCCGCTTCCAATCCCCTTATTATACTGTACATTTCAAATTTTAATAAGTATAATTAGTATAAGCAATTAATATTACAAAATATACTTTAATGTATTGTAAGTTTCAACTTCCAACCTTGTATATTTCACATACCTATGTCTTGCTTGAAAATTAAATTATCGAAAAACTCGATGACGCTTAAGCACAGATAATATTCTTATCTAAAATTATTTCTATAATAGGTCAATTCACTCTGATATCAAAACAAATATCACATTATTGAAACTAGTGAACGAACGTTTGTAAGACGGAGACAACAAACACTAGGGTAACGTCCTCTTCAAACACCAACGTTGTAGGTAATTTAGTTATCATTTGACGGCTAGTGAGCAGTGAGCACTACCCGGAACGAGTAATATACAGGCAATTTTTGAAGAGCACAACATATACAAGTTTTGTTATCTCGGTATATCTCACACAGTCACGGGTGGAACATAAATGGCAAAAAGTTAGTTTACGAAGATCTGTCATAAATTGTAGGAAAACCTATTGTAAAAATGTAAGAGAAAAATATTTTCGAGTGCATCTCGTAGAATTTATTCGTTATATCTTATAATAATAATAGGTTATTATTTAATTATATTTTTAGATTCTGAGTGGAACGATGAATGTATTGATTTTATAATGATGTGTGTTTTTTTGTTATTTTTAAAAGTTTTTTTTTCTCTGTGTACACGATAAGTAGTCGAAATAACGCTTCGATTTTAAACTTCAGTATCTTATTCGATTGGAAAGTAAATATCGTTGGTGCGTTGGGGAGGTCAAAATTTAAAATTCCCAGTAATTTTCAAAAGCGCCAAGGAAAACCAAAGAAAAATTAAGGAAAAACGGGAATTTTTACGCAAAATCAATTTTTAACAAAATTGAATTTGGTTTTTGGTGTAACTTTAAAAAAAATGACCGTAGATACATGAAATTTTCACTGGTTGTTTATATTTGCGTTTTCTATACAGTATACACGATAACATTTTCAAAATATTTTGATTTATTTTGAACTGTTTAGGGACATTTTCATTTTCCATTTTTTTTAAGTTTTTTTTCTAGAAATATCAATAAAATTTTATTTGTTGGTTAAAAAAGCTTGAAAATTTAATAGAAGGCTCCTAGTATATTGTTTCAAAGGCAGATGAAAAATATTAAAATTCCTTAGTCACAGTTTTTTTTTATAAGCATTTAAGGTTCAAAAGTTGACAAAATATGGAAAAATCACGAAAATTAGCAAATTATTTTGAGTTAAGAATTCGTAAAAATTTTTTTTTTAAATCTATAAGATTTTAAAATGTAATACAAGATTCCTTATAAGATTATCTACCTTTATCAAAAAAAAAATGTCTATAAGAAAGTAAAATTAAATTTTTATGAGCGTTTGAAATTCAAATTTTTACAACATTGGATATTCACTCGATTTCTCATGTAGCGATTTCCTTTTTTTGTTGCAACTCAAAAACGAATTACTGTAAATACATGAAAATTTCACTAAACAGTTCAAAATAAATCAAAATATTTTGAAAATGTTACAGTGTATAGAAAATGCAAATACAAACAACCAGTGAAAATGTCATGTACGTTCATTTGTTTTAGAGTTACACCAAAAACCAAAATCTATTTTTTCGATAACAGATTTTGCGTAAAAATTCCCGTTTTTCCTTAATTTTTCTTTTGTTTTTCACGGCGCTTTTGAAAATTATTGGGAAATTTTTACTTTTGACCCCCCCCCCAAAGTACCAACTAGATTCACTTTCCTATCAGAAAAGCTACTGTTGAAGAAAAACCAACCACTTTTACTGTCCTAAAACGTGATGACAGACACAAAAAAAATTTAAAAAAAAATTAAAAAAAACACACATCATTGTAAAATCAATACATTCATCGTTCGACTCAGAATCTAAAACCTAGAATAACTATTTTAGTTACTTTGTTGGGATTGTATAATATTATTCGTGGGTACTTGAAACTTCTAAAGTATACTACTATATATCTATGATAGTATCAGGGTTTGTTGTTGGTGTATAACGCGTTTTATGTACCTAATGGATATTGTGATATGATTAATTTGGAATTCATTGTAGGTCAATTTTTTTTAATACCAAAGAATATAGATAAGTATATAATATGTCTTATACCTAGACTGACATACCGTCTCCGCTCAGAATCGTTTTACTTATACAATGATATAATATCATTGAATTCAAATGTAATACCATCCATTATACAGTGACACACTTGTAACCTACTGTACAGCAGAGCGACACCCACTTGCCCACCTTTTTTTTTGTTGCATATAAAAACATTATTACCTATAACAAAGATATTATTTTAATTAATTTGTATAAGGTATACAAAATCAAGGCTTCAAAATTACTTTCTAATTACTTATCTGAAAAGTTGGGAAGTTATTGAATTAAATAAATTTAAAAAACATATTGCAATATTGCTGTAAAAATATGAAAATTAAATTTTTGTTTATTTTTATTAATAAAATTACATGTTAAACACTTAAACAGTCAATGGATAACAAAAAAAAAATGTAATTAATACGAGTCATTATTAATGGGTTTTTCGGCATTTTTGCAACAAATGCCGTTACGAAACAAAAACAAACACAGAGCAAAATGAATAGCAGTTCAGCAGTTGTCATAAAAGTAAAAACCAGAGAAACAGAATATGGACTTAATAAAGACATTAATTATTAATTATAATAATAGATTTATGAACACATTCTTGAAGGGAGGAATTATTAAAAATGTCTTAAGTACCTAATTTTTTATTAAAATAATTTGGCCGTGAGGCATATGGCTGTACAACGCTCACAAAAATAAAATTGTTGAGGTGTGATCATAAAAAAACAGCAACATCGATGAAAATTGGCAAATTTTATAAAAGACAGCAAAGTTATCACAAAAATATCAATAACACGCAAAAAAGAGCAGATATTATTGGTTTCTGAACTCCTTTTAGTATGAAATTAATTTGTGGATTACTTTGCTATAATTTTAAGTTCTTGAAAAAAATATGTAAATGTTTAAGTCTATACATAATATACTGTATTATACTATTATGTATTCAAATGTATTTATATTTACTATAGTTAGATGAACTTATCTCTACAACTCTATCTAACTTATTAACAATAACTAGGAGATAGCATTAATAAAGATCATTAATAATTCACTAATATTTCGGTTAATGTTAAGCATAGTATTTACTATTTGTATGGTTTAAGTCAACAATTATAAATATTGTAAATAATAATATTATACTGAAGACATATTATAATAATTAGATAGGTACCTACAATAAAATTACATGATTATGTTATTTGTTTAAACATTTTTCATTTTTTTTTTACAGTCACCAATTTTGCTGCAATAACTGTACTTTTATTTTTCTTTCCCAGAACTAATCATTGGATGTCAGTACTGTATAGAATATAGATAAAGTAACTGTATAATATAGTTGTATACAAATCTTGTTTTAAATTTTCTTAATACAATCAATTGCAACAAACAACAGACAATAACAGATAAGGTAAGTAGAAGTATAAAAAAAACACTATTCAAATTAGGGCGACATATTATGTAATATCTAATATGATGTGGTTTGACTATCACTAAAAACAAAATAATATTCTGTTAAAAATACCAAAAGAAATAAATATAAAATATAACCAAAGCCACAATTCACCTTGACAGTTGGTACCAAAACCTTGGGTCATTACTACATTAGACACGCCATTATTATTAGTGTTATTATTATTATGTACTTTGACATATTATAATAGTCTATAGCAGTGTTTCCCAACCTTTTTACCACACCCCCATTAGATTTTCAAAAATTTTAGCCCTCCCATTCAATAAATTTAGAAAAATATTGAAGACTTTTTATTGATTAAATTGGGCATGTAGGATGATTACTAAAGATAAATAAATATATATTATAACATATTATGAATTAATCATTTTTCCATGCTCTTCGTCCAACCAAGGTGCTCTCAGCAGTTTGGGAAGCACTGGTCAATAATAATCAGATCAATGTTATATTTATAGACATCAAAACTAAGACATGTTTTACCTATTACTGTTTTAAAATATTTACCAACCATCATATTGTGAGAAATAAAATAATTTACAAACATATTGATTAAAAATTAAATTCAACAAAGTGTTTGTTATTTGATGAAATGAATTATACTATAATGATAAAAATTTCATTGTGACAACTTAGTTGAGCTTATGTTGTTTTCCTCCATCATAATTATACTAACATGGAATTATCTTTAAATGATTTCCTATGAAATGAAACAAGGATTTCTAATAATCTCATTCAACAAACAGGAAATAATGATAATATTAAAACATTTTGAAATATATAAATATAAATTAAATTGACAAATACTTAAGGGGATTTGATACTGTGATTTTCTGTCTTTGTTAACACACTCTCAACATAGGATTTTAGACATATTCTTTGCCAAACGTTCTGATTGTTATAGTGAAGCGATAAGAATTTGAAGTCAAATCTACTTGAGATCGACTTTCTTTTTTAATATCAAAAATTTGGGAAAATCGATTTCAAGTAGACTTGACGACAATTTCAAATCATTTTTTTAGAATTCTTATTGCTTCACTAGACCATTTGGTACGTTTGGAAAAGAACACTTCTAAAATCCTATGTCACGTGTCTGTTTGACAAAGACAGAAAGTCACGATATCTAATCCCGAGTAATCCCCTTAACTAATAGAGTACTAACAAATAATTATGCAGTATTTGAATAAATTTCAAAGTGTTGATAGTATAATAATTGGAAACAAATAATATTGATAAAATATCAATGATTAAATTAGTGTCAAAAATAAGAAGAATTTAGTGTTCTATGAAAAAAAAAAAACTAAAACCATAAAAATTAGATAATATGTAATCCATTTTTAAAAAGAATTTAAAACATTCTTACAACCAAGTTGGTTGAACTAACATAAACAAATTAATAGTTTTTTAAATCATATAAGTATAGGGTATATTTTACCTGTTGACATGTAACAAATACTGCTGTCCAAACAAATAGTCCAGCGATCACTTGGCAAGCAGTAGTTTGTAAAAATATTGGATTTGATTGTGTGAAAGCCCGCTGTGTGATAACTTCTATAGTATCAGTTGTTGTTTCTGTATTGTTACTAGATGCCATTCTAAAAAAAATAAACACTAGTTAGTAAATTATCAATCTATTTTACTACCATTCATTTATTTAAAGCTTTGTAAAATAATATATTATAGGTCCCTCAATACAATTTCAATCTAAAATATATTATTTTGGTAGTAATACAGTTTATAAATAATAAAATAGAATATACACATATAGAATTGGTATCAGTTCAATTAATGAACTCTTGCACTTTGATAAATTATTCTTAGTCTCATTATAAAATGAGATTATTTCAGCTTTCAAAATTCATATTGTCATTCAGAGAGTCCCTATAGTCTATAGAGATAAAGTAACTTAAGAAATAGCTACTTGTGTTTAAATTTTATACCTAGTGTGTGGAAAAAACTGACATTTGAAGTCTAGTTTTTTAATTATTTTTATGTCGACAACATAATTTTGAATTGCTCTTATAACTTCAGATAACAAACATAGTATATACCTATAGATAGGTAATCAATACGGTGCATGCATATTTTTAAACAATATAATATTTTAGACCGACATTTCATGAAACCTAAGAGAGTGAGGAATCGAGAAATTAATTTTTATTCCAATATTTAACTGTTGACAGGTTTGTTGATATTCTTTGATAAAATATTATACAGGGTGTCCCGTGAGGATTTACCTATTAGCCTAAGAGGGGGACTCGTCGCCCGGAAAAAAACCGGTTTTTTTGCCGTTTTACTTATTAATTAAAAAAATTATTAAAAATCAGGAAATTAATGAAATTAAAATGTTGAAACGTCAATATTTTCAGAAAAATGAACTCTACAAAATGGCAATCTTCAATATTTTTTTAAATAATTAATTAAAAAAATAATTTTTTTAACTTTTTTACCAAAACATAAAAAAAATAATAAAAAATTAGTTATTTGTAGTGCTTAACTCTGTGAGTCTTAATAAGAAAATAGAATTACGATATCTCTATTATTTCAGGAGATATCGCAATGAGTAAATCCTCACGGGACACCCGGTATTATAATGTAATTATTTTAAAGCTATCTCACACTTCCTCTTATAATAAACATTCTACCTACCTATACATAATATAAAATGAGTACATAATTTATCATTGTTGGGTTTCAAAATTATTTTTAATATTGTTAAATTGTATTCTAAACATTTATTTAGGTAATTTAGATTAATAAATAATAATAACAATATCAGTTTACAATTACAAATAGATATATTATAAAAATTTGGATCAAACAAAAGTTTGTTTAATGACCTTTCCAACTAAGTTTGATTATTAATATTTAATATTATTATAATAGGTTATACTTATATATATTATTTGTATTTAACAGGATAATGTGCCTATACTTAAAACATAATATTATGGGATATTATGTATTGTTTTTGTTTAAAATAATTTAATCCTTAAAAAAAAGATGTTAACTATCACAAATAGTATATAGACAGAGTATTACAATATCTAATATTATTTTAATGTTTTTTGACACCTAATAGATTTTCAGATCAATGTAGGTGCTATTACGTATCGTATTATGTTTACCTAGTGGCTAATACCTATCAGTTTAATTTAAATGTGACAAGAATCAAGGTATAATCTGTATTGATCGCTTGATTGTAACATATATTTGATATAGGTACACATATTATATGGTTTATCTTTTCATAAATTAATGTACAAATGTGTTATTACATTCTTTTAAAAATAAATTACAATAATCTATAATGACAAAGGTACTGAAATAATTTTTAATAAACATAATATTATATTGTATTGTAATAATAGAGTATTTTAATTTATTACTCATATTTTCCAAAAATTGTTATCATTGGTTGGCTTGGTAGGTTATTATTTATTATGTTCATAGACAAAAATATTCAATTGAAATTCCATATGGTTGCATTTACACAAATTTGAAATGTCCCTTGAAGATTTTTATAAAAAACTATTAGTATATTAGCAACAAATTCACTAGATTAAACCGGTGTGAAAAATAATGCACCGGGATGTTTGGACCATATCGTTTACATGGTTCATTATCCCGGTGCGGGATAATGTGGGATAATTTTAAACCGGTATAGTTTAGCGAATTTCTAGTAGGTTATCAAGTACCTAAGAACCCAACAAAAAATGTTTTTTTTTTTTTATTCATTATTTCAAACCCGATTTCAAATGAAAACATTTTTTTTTTGAATTATCAATATAATAATTATGTAGAGGTACAAGCTTGGGTACTAGGCAGGTAATAGTTATTTTTTTTATATTTTGATTATGCTACAAATATTTAGCTTTATGTGCATATCTGTAGATAAACTAATAAAGAATGTGAGCTAATAAACATTTTCAATAATAATTTGTAATTAAGATGACGTACTATTCGCATGTCTTGTCTCCGTCTTACAAATATACAACATAGTCAAAAACTGTTTTGCGCACAACAACTTTATTTCCTCGGTTTTTGTAGTAGAATTACCAAAATTCCACAACACATAGGGAAGAACTTTGTCTGTGACGTAGCCTTTTTATTTTTTAAATAACATAAATGAAATTAAAGTTATCAGTTTGAGAACATTAGTTTTTTTTTTGCTTACTTTCATTTAATTATTAAAATTGATTAGTAAATGTTATTAAAAAAATTAAAATTATATGTCACAGATAAAGTTCTTCCCTATGCGTTGTGAAATGTTGGTAATTCTACTATAAATACATGCGGGTAGCACCTTATCTTTGTATAAAACTACAATGTCGGGTATAATCATAGATATATTAAACTACTAGATGGCCGAATTCCCTATGCAGACAATGTATTAGGTACATATATATCTTTATATATCCATGGGTATGATATAAAAAATTTAAATACAGTGAGTTCCGCTTAATGTGATCACTGGTTTATAGAATCAACCGTTTATTAGAATCAAAAATGAAAATCCCAAACCAAATTGTATGCTACTAATGTTAAATTGACCTTTTATTAGAATCACTAAGTACCGGATAATTGAATCACTTTTATGAACAATCTTATCGTTTTTATGGTATCTCAAACTGATTAATTTATAAAAACCATTTTATTTTTGAATTTATCAGTATTAGGTACTGTATATCGTTGTACATTATGTCAATCAATTATCTTTGTATGTCGCGGCGTCGTGTACTTGTGTCATTTAGTTTATTCGGTTTATTGTTCATGATCAGACGTATTTTTTGAAATGTCGACCAAACAAAATGATTTAACTATAAAAGAAAAAAAATATATACTCGTTCGTTTCGATAAATTGGATAGATGTTCTCAAAGAGAAGCCGCATTAGCTCTGAAAATTCCTCAACCAATGTTAAACAAAATTTTAAAAAATCGTAAGGAAATTGTTGAACATTGTTGTAAATGCTTTTTAGAATCAACCGGTTAATAGAATCAAAATGACCTGCACCAAAGTGATCACATTAAGCGGAACTCACTGTATTATAAAAAGACAAAAAGTTGTAATATCATTATGTTTTATGTCTTAATCAAGTTATTATAATAAAAATAAAATTATAAGCTTAATTTATAGTCAGGTTTATATCTAACCTTCCAAAAAGCTTTAAATTTTCAATATTAAAAGTAACTATCATGCAAAAGTAACTAATGTAAACAGCATGGACATTACAAGACTATTATACCTATATCAATAATGTAGTGTTTCGTTTATTAGGTAATTAAAAAATTAACTTCTATCTAGGCCCTACAATATCCTAATTTTTTTTTATAACCACTAATCAGACAATTTAATTTTGTAATGGGCAATTTTAAATGCATCAAATAAAGTGATTTAGGTACCGTCTATTATTATTTATTAATACACTAATTAAACAAAGACAGCTGTTATTTATAAAATTGGTCTAGATAAAATAAACAAAGTGAATTACTTAATGATGGATTTATAATATGTCAATGATAGTTATTAATTTAAGGACCCATTTAGTATTTTTATTGTTGGTCAGTAATAACAGAAACTTTAAATACCTAGGTAAGCATTAGACATAGGTAAATACTATTTTTTGGTTTAAAAAAAACCTATAGTTGGTACTTATTGCTAATATTGCATAATAACTACAAAGTAGGATATCAAAAGTTCACACTACTAAATATTTGAAAATTATTATTGAATAACAGTTTTAATTACATAGAAGAAACCTCAGAAGAAACCTTATATCATATTATACAATACAGTAGGTACCTATATGATCTAAGGAAGAAACTAAATTTGGTTTTGAATGTAACATAATTATAAATTATAAACACTACCTACTGCTATTATATAACATTTGAAAACATCACTGTTATTATAAGAATAATATAAGATTTGTTTTATGAATAAGTAGTTTTACGGAATTCATTACTGATAATTCCATATTTTCAATTTCATTGCTACTTACTAGTACTAATAGTATCTAGTTTAGAACATAACTACTCATTTATTATCAAAGTAAACAGTTTTTAAAATTATCTCGTCTGGACACATACACGATAGAGACAAGAATTTAAACTGTCACATACCTCATATTCTAGCAATATCATTAAATTAATTGAAATATTATAGATATACTTAAATGTTAAAACTTAAGGCTGTTAATTTTGCAAAACTGTGTTTGATTTAATTTTCCCATCTTTGTAATTTAACACTAAAATTCAAAAAAAGTTTTTAATGTAATTTTAATCAAACATTTGTTTCGATGCAGTTTTTTGTTTCTTAGTTCTTATAAAAGTTTACATAGTATGATAATATATTGTAAGGTTTTGTACAACTTTTGTTAATTTTGAAAAAGGAATAAAATGTAGAAAATATATGACCGGATGCATTTAATAGAATGTCCAGAATATGTTCTTGCAAGTTTGTTCAAACAAAGCCATAATTTATTAAGTATTTATTAACACAATTACCTACGTTTTATAAAATATCAATGGGTTATTTGTGAATAATTAGTGACTTTACAAGTAAAATATTAAGGTAGGTATATAGGTATGTATGAAACGATTATTTTACAATTACCTAGCTTTCACAGAACTCACAAATACCTATATAGTAGGTAGTGATTTGTGAATAGTGAATGCTGTATTGATAAGTTTAATGCAATTTGATAAACAACAAATAAGAGGGCCAAACACACACAAATTAGTGGAAGTATTTCTGTTATGGAGGTCGATGAGTCGGCGGTAATGATTAGTCCGAAGTCAATGGCTGACAAATTGTGGTCGTTTGAATGAGACAGGCATTAAAAATTAACTGAAATAACGGCAATACTCTTCTATCCAAGACTGCCTGCAAAGACATTTTGGATCTCACTTACCTACTGCAGGTGTAGTCTTAGCTGTAGTATAGTGGCGAGCGGTAAGCTGATGGTTGGGGTCCACTGCCGGTCGGTAGCTGTAGTGAGTGATTTATGGTAGCACAACTATTGTTCCATTTCACGTCTACCAAGTGGAAGCATGGCGGAAGCTGAGGAACTTGACTGGACCGTAGTGTTCACTGACATATTGTTGGCTAGAATCGGTCATTTTTTTTCCTTGTTTCCTTGAACGCCGTTTGCATGACCCGGGGAAACGCGTCGAAAGTCGACCGACGTGTCGGTTTGTACGGATAAGCGTCGGCGGCGCGAAAAGTGAATGTACCCGAAAAACACAGCAGACGGTGTGCGGCGTGCGCTAACGAAGGCGGACGTTCGGTGCGAAGAGCTGAACTGACTATACAGTGAGTAGTGAGTAGTGACGATGAACGCGGCGGCGGCGGCGGTGGGTTGGTAGGGAAAAAGTTAAATACACGACAGCGATAATTGATCCGAACAGCGCGCGCGCCGACCACGACTCACGAGGATTGTGGAGGAGTAGGACTGTAGTCTGTAGTCTGTATGACTGTAGGAGCAGTGGGAGGAGAAATGGATCTTCGTGACGTCGTCAGCGGCGTTGATGTTGGAGGCAACAGATGACGACGGCGGCCGGCAGCGGAACAAAAACAGCCGCTCATTATCACAGTCACTCGCCAGCCGAGATAACGCTGAAAAGCACGCCTTATCACGCTTGCATAAAGCAAACTGCAGACGTGCAGTTCTATATAGACCTCGTCGCTCCTCTAGTATACGATGTGAGTTCGTAACCGCCACTGAGATACTGAGTACACTGTATGATAAATTCTTGTTAATTTACTTGTCTATGGTGCTATTGTTCCGAATTATCGAACGAATCACGATTTAACATTTTAACATATTCCAAATACGCCTCAAATCTCAAAACTTTCTAGGTTAGACAACCGAAGGCCACCGTCATATTTGAATCGTGATGATCAACACCAACTGAGACGCCCAACGCATTATCATGGCTCTTGTGTTCAATGACAACGATCCCTGGTAAGTCGATAAATGTACTATTAAATTATTAATTGAACTGCATGACGTATCCTCCTTCGTTAGAAAGTATAGTGCTCAATAGTAGGTTAAAATTGAATGAGTGATGTTATTCCCATTTTTTCCAAATTACAATTGATGCTATAATCAGTTGATTAATTGATGTTTGGAAAATATTCAAAATAACATAGATATAGATTTTGTTGTATTAAAAAAAAATTGTTATTTCAGGTTAATTGAATACGAGTCATGTGAGAAGCTATATAGAGAAATTGAAGGATTATTAAATGTGAGAGAATTAGAGCAAAAGTCTTCCGAAAAATATGTTTTGTATTCATCACAAGTCCGGCTTAGGCTGAAACAGTTTACTGATGAAGTCCAACAGTTATCTCATAAACTTAGAGGACTTGCAACATCTAAGGCTGTGTATCCTTTGCTATGAAAATATAATTTAAAGTAATTTTTTTAATTTTCCATTAAACTTTCCTGAGTTATTTAACATAGTACACTGGACGAAGAGGAACGACGTCAACGTATGCTTGAGCTACTCCAAAGCAGAAATATTTTATTAAATCAACGTTTTCAGAATAGGTGATACATTGTTTTTAAAAATATTTGCCACGACATAATTTAATTTTTACAATAGATTTTGATTTCTAATCTAATACATAAGTTATAAGCCATTTAAAATATAATATTATGATATTCTTTTAGGAATAATAGTCATACATTAGAACGTCAAGAATTGATGAGACCAAGTACTAGTAAGGCCAAAAAAACTGAAATGCCAACTACTGGTTGGCTGGAAAGTGATGATGATGACTATGATGATAAACAACCATTACTTAGTGAAAAAGTGCTTAAACAACAACAACAGTACTTGCTCAAAGGTAAAGAGTAAAACTTATTAAGATTTTATTCAGAAAATTATGAATTGTGATATACATTGTTTAGAACAAGACGATGGACTAAATGAATTAGCATCAATTGTGTCTAGACAGAAAAATATTGCTATCACCATAAGCAGTGAAGTCGATCTACAAAATGGTCAGTACCTATAAAATGTAATTTGTTGTGGTTGGCTACAAAAATTAATTATTATATTACAGAACTAGTTGAAGACCTATTGGTAAAGATGGACAAAACAGCAGCTGGAATTGAAAGCGAGACCAAGGAAGTAGTTCAGATATTAAAAAAAGATTCAACTCGAGGTATATGGTTGATATTGATACATTGTAAAATATTAAATAATTATTTTATATTATTTACAGGACTTTGGGTGATAATTATTCTTCTACTGATTGCAAATGTAGTGGTTGCTTTTTCGTGATATTTGGTTAAAATATATAAATACAACTCGCAATTATTATGTTAAAATTATTTTTCTAAATACCTTTTAATATTTATTGATATTTAAATTTTATTTTATTATAATTGTTAATCATTGGATATTTTTTTATATAAATAAAGTAATTCTAAATTTTTATACTAATAAAATCAATTATTTTATTATACCTACATTATCTAATATAATACCTCTTATATATAGGTGTGCACATAGTTTCAAGTCGGGGGCATCAAATATTTTTACCGGCCAATTTTTTTCATACACGAGCATTTTGTTATCATTTTAAAATTCTAACTCAAAGACAACATTTAACTTTTATTCTTTTTTGGCATCATGTTTATAAAACTTAAATGAATGTTTATAATAATAGCATACTTTCACCCGTATGACTGTGTTAAAGATAAACACATTTAACACAGAAAAGATTACCTTGGTAAATTCAATACACTTTTTGGATAGCAAACTTATTTTTTATTGAGCATTGCACGGTGGCCCAGCTTGGACCTGTTTGGCCCTTACAAATCTATTCAAACCGTTCAGGGGCAGCAGGGTGTGCACACATTATGCTCTTATTGTTTTTTTGAATATTTAAAATTCAATGAAATGATATAAAATTGAGATTTAATTAGAGTATTTATCGCTTTAAGTTTAAAAGTAAATTAAAATTTCAAGTCTCAACAAAGCCTAAATAAAAAATGTTAATTTATTTATTGTTAAAGTACAAGTAATATTTAACGACATTTAGTTTTATACTCATATCAGTCAAATCTGTATGTAGTTCAGTTTTGGTGTATAGTATATTTACCTAATACATATTATATTGTATGTATTTATAATATATTAATGTATACTATATAATATAGCCATGTAAATAAAAAAAAGTTGGACAAGTGAGCACCGCTTTGCTAGTCTGCTGTACAGTAGTTTTTGAGCATGTCTATGTAATATTACAAATATATCTGTATTAATATGTCTATATTGTAAATACAATACATTATTTCGCTCCGCATAGAATCTAAAAATTGAAATAATTTTGCAATTTTAATTTTATTTATCCAAGAAATATAAAAAGCGGTTAAGCTTGGGTGTTGCTCTGTTGTATAATAGGTTACATGTGGGTCACTGTATAATGGGTGGTGTTAAATTTGAATTTGAATTCAATGATATAATAACATTGTATACGAAAAACGATTCTGAGCTGAGTCGGTTTGTCTGCAGCCTATTATAATTTTTACTATATTTTTATATTGTTATTATTACAGTAGATTATAGTACTATAGTCTATAATCTACCTTGGTTATTAATTATTATTAATAGGGTAGCCGGTAAGTTGAATTAATGTTATTTGTATATTATGAATTATGATATTTAAAATTTAAATATTTGTATAATATAATAATATACCTACTTAAGAAGTTCAAAGTATCAACGGGCCACGAATAATACGAGTATTTTTCAATTACAACAAAATAACTAAAATCGTTGTTCTTGGTTATTTAATATGTAATTTTGTAATTTGGACTTAAAATAACTATAAAAAAAACTGTTTAAATATTTTTAGATTTTTTCTTTACAGAATAAACTACTTACCTACCTTGTTTTACATTTTTAGTTCTTAGCTATAAAAGTTGAACATTTTATAAATTTTTAACTACGAAATAATTATTAAACTTTGTCAAAAAACGAACTTTAAATACATATAAAAAAAATGTTGTCTATATATTTTTAATGTTTTTAAACTGCTATTGTAACAATATACTGCGGGAGCCTTGTATTAAATTTTCACGCTTTTGGGCTCGACAAATACAATTTTATTGATATTTATAGAAAAAAACTAAAAAAATTTAAATTTAAAATTGTAAACAGCTCAGAACGAGTCAAAGTATTTTCAAAGTTTAATAGCGTATAGACAATGAAAATATAAATATTCAGTGAAATTGTTATGTATTTACAATTATTTGATTTGGAAATATAAAAAAAAAAAGAAAATCGCTACATGAAAAATCGAGTGAATATCAAATGTTCTAAAAATATGAACTTCAAACGCTCATAAAAATTTAATTTAACTTTCTTGTAGACGTTTTTTTTTTTTTGATAAAGGTAGACAAACTTATGAGAAATCTTACATGACATTTCAAAATCTTAGATTAGATAGTATCTTTAGAATTTCTAACTCCAAATAATTTGCACATTTTCGTGATTTTTACGCATTTTATCAAAATTCGAACTTTAAATGCTTACAAAAAAAATTGTGACTATCGGTTATTAATATTTTTCAAATGTCATTGTAACTATATATTAAGGGGCTTGTGTTAAATTTTCAAGCTTTTTTAACCAAAAAATAAATTTTTCTTGACATTCATAGAAAGAAAAACTAAAAAAATTGGAAACTGATAATGTCAGTAAACTGTACATGTTTTTATTTACAAAACGGTGTAATATTTATTACTATAGTAATTAATAATTACCGAAGGGATAAAAAGCAGTGCCAGCTTGGTGAATATCGGGACTATGTCCGAAACTGAAAAATGTTTTTGTGGGGCCTATTTAATGGATATTACGTTTGGGGCCTCTGGGGAATCTGATATCTGAATCATTAGATGAATAATATGATGAACATAATTATACATTATTATTATGTAATAATGTACTTACATGAACTAATGACTCAATAACTTATTTTTGAAACAGGCCTCTGGCCTGTGTCATTGCACAGCTTGAAGCAACTTGATACTTAAAACTAAATACTAATTGTGTAGACTGTAGTTAAAATATTGTAAAGTATGTTTTGAACTAACAATAATTAACTGTGGGTGAAATTTGTTTGGAAGAGGCTTATATCTCCCACATCATCGCCCCCACCCCACTTGGTACGCCTATGTTTCGAATCGCCTTCAAGCCGGCCCTGGATAAAACCTAAATATTTTATTGTATAATCTAATTATTAAATACTGAATACCAAAATGTATAAAAGTTAATGAAAAAAAATTAAACGGCTCACTAAATTTAAATTGATAAAGTACCTATTGGCTATTACTATATATGTTGATGTTTGATTGACTGATACATTTCATGATGATTCCAGTCATTAATGGTCTGGTGAACTAATGACGACAACAAAATGTGGTTTAAAATCAACCTGTTGCTCTCTTTAGCTATTATAGCAATAAAATAGTTAAAATTAATGTATTTAACAAATAGGTTCATGGAGATTTACTTAACTAATACCCAGTGCCGCAATTAGGGTTCTTGGGGCCCGGACACATTCAATATATTTGTTACTGTGAATGTCCGCAATTGGTGAATGCTGACAGTCACCTGGTGAATGTCAACATACACCTAACGAATCGGTGAATGTTGAAAAATTAAAATAATACAGACATTTACGTTAGGATTTTGGTCAATGTTGATATACACAACAAGATTTTGGTTAATGTTGACATAGGTACGTATTAGAAGCAACATATGTTTAATTAAATCAAAAAAATTATTATTATTATTAAACAATATTATACTATATTATATTTGTATAATTATTAGGTATTTAAATTATGATTGTTTTATAATATTTCTTATTACAGCATGACTTACTATCATGACATTCTACTTTCATTCTTACTATCATCGCTACATAAAATGCCAACATTTCTATATTTACACTTTTTTGTAGTACACTTTGTTTTACACTTACATCTTGTTTATTCTTGCCCACCAATCAATGAATTTGATGTAGAAGCTTCCCTTAAAGAAATTTGTTGATCTCTTATACATCAGTGATTGATATTAAATTTTCATTACACACTGAAAACTGGTTTTTGGTGTTTAATCGATTTATAACACCGTTTTTGGTAGCTAATTTATAAAAATCATTATTTACTATATCTAATACTACAGCTAAAATATTTTGGGGATCCATTTTACTACGATCAACATCTGGAACTCGAAAACGAACAGTTTCTCCAACATTAGCCAGCTGAAACTTTTGTTTTGAAGTTCGCAACATTTTTACAGCTTGTACTTGAAGATTGGTGATTGCTACTTCTCTATTCAAAATTATTTTTTCTTTTCTTCTAGAAATAGATTTATCCACAAATTATGTGATTTGAATAAATTAAGTTTCGTTTATTAGTTTATCTATTAATAGTTAATACTTACTTGATATTTTTTTTTTCGTGTTGTTCGTCATCATTCGACTCTTGATATTCTCGATCGCTGTTTTCAGAATCTGTTAATCATTTTCAAGTATTTATTATTATTTATTTGCTTATTGTTAATGAATTTTTTATACTTAATACCTGTATTATTATTTTCATGTTGGTCGGCATCATTCGACTCTTGACTTTCTGGACCAATATTTTCAGTATCTGTTAATCATTTTCAAATATTTATTATTATTTATTTCATCAACTGAATATAATTATTATAGGTACGTACTAATATTTTTGATTATGTTTTCCAAATGCTCTTCTGATTCAAGTTCAAGAAAAGAAGACGAAAACAGACCCATTTTGGCTTTTGTGCCAAACATAGCTTCATATGGACTTTGCTTTATACCTTCGTGGTATGCTGTATTTTTTGTAAATTGTATAAAATATAGACCATCCACCCATTTATACGTATTATTTTCGTACATCCATGCTCTTAATAGGTTTTGAATATCTTGATTAGCTCTCTCTATTGAACCCTGTGTTTGGCTATGGCGTGGTTTGTCATGCACTAATTTGACACCATCCCACATTAAACACAATTCTGTGATTATTATTTTATGATAGTCATTACGTTGCTTATTAGATTTATCTTTTGAAATATTCACTTACTTCACTAATTAAAAATTTATAATTTTCAGCCGATATAAAAAAAGAATTATCATTTCTTTTTTTAGATAGTAAATCATTAAATTTATTATAAAATAATTCGAGCATGTTTTCCATTTTTAAAAAAAAAATCGGTTGAGTAAAATGTTATTTAAAATAAAAATATAT